GCCTTCTGCAGGCTGAGTGCTTGTGTAAAGGGTGGGGAATATTTCTGCTGAATAGAACCCAAGGTCAACCCATTGTGTGAGTTTGTATGTGAGAAGGGGAACAAAGGTTCTGGCTTCAATAAAATTAAATGAATTCATGTCTTGACTGGTATGGAGTCATTTAATTTTTATTACAGCCAGAACCTTCAGTCTGCCTCAGAAATGCACATTAAAAATATTATTGCTAGAAAACAGAGAGAGAGAAGACAATTACCCAACAAGATTTCAGCTAATTGTCTGTCAGGTTAAATTCAATTCTGATTTCATTTTTTTTTCTTAAAGAAATGTATCTAATCAGTGAAAAATAAAATCCTATTATCTTTCTAGGGATCTATTCCTAGAGAATACCATGTGGGCCACCAAAGTATTAAAAGAAATTTGCAAAGGCTTGTATGAAGAAAGGTGTGAAAGATTTTAGCCTGGCAGCCACCTTCAAAGCCCATCTCTAAGGCTCTGGCATAGTAAAAAGCAGAGACTGGGCCAGGGTTGCTTTGCTGCCTCCTTTATGTCAGCTTCGAGTTTTTGCAGTCAGGCATTCCCAAAACGTGATTTGTGGAGAATCTCTAAAGAATGAATGAGAAGTCAACAACGTGTTTACTCCTGGTTCAACTGCATGTTTTGCAGCCTTCTCAGAGGACCAAATTCTGTTCAGGCTGGTTTGACTCATGGCCCAGAGAATACTATCTTTCTCTCCACTTTTACTACTAAAGTTTGACAAAAGGGACACAATGAGCTTAGGAAGGGACAAGCTTTGGCAATCTGGTTTCCTTCCTTTTTGTACCACAGTCAGCTTGGTCTGTGACTGGGCAGCTCCTATGTGTTATAGAAACAGTAACACTTAACAGTAGGAAAAAAAAAGCTCAAGTGGTTTTTTTTTATATAAAAAAGGGGGGTTGTTCCGTTTTATTCTTTAAAGGACTATAACACTCCTGGCTCATTGCATCCTTCAACTTTCTTACTGATTTGTTTGCATGATGAATCTTCTACATTCTCCTGACATTTATATGAAGGGAGTAAAAGTCCATTTTCAGTAATTACTAATCCTCAGTAAATAAAAAAGGAAAAATTTCAGGGAAGTACATGTTCACATTGCACAAAAAAAATCATGTCAGTAACCATGGTCATTAATCCTACATCACTACACAAAACACTTTTTTTTGGAGGTTTTCACACAGATTCAGACCATGCCAAGAAGAAAATCTGAAAGAAATACTTAAAAAGAATACAAAACAGATCTCAAACTCAAAACATCTCTATCAAGGCTTTCTGCAAAATATTTCAAGTGCTGCAGGTTATTGTCTGCAAAGAAAGGTACAGATACAGGAAACTGTCATTTCCTGTTGTACCTTTAAGCAGCTACCATCAGTGAGGTCTAACTCCTCAGATGTCTAATATGGAAGTCGCTGACATAGATAAAATTGGAGACATTTATCTTGGCACGTGACAAAGTGTCTTATCAGCCTCATTAGTGGCTTAGTAAGTCTCATCAATCTTTAGTATACCCAGTGGTAAACGCCGCATGCCTGTCATTGGACAGGAATAGGCACATACCAGAGAGGTTAGGGTGATGATCTGTGTACTCATGAATAAATTTTGTTATAATAAAGGTGTCTAAAGCTCCTGAAAAGTGATAGCCTTGAAGAATGAGTCTTCTGTTTATCCACACAACAGGTGCAGTACGGCCAGTGTCAGAAGTTGCCAAATTGTCTCAAAACCTTGACTTGCAGTTACTGCGTCTCTGAGCAAGGCGGGTGCTCGAGACCATCTGTCCCTCTTTAGACAGACTATTAAAAGAGATCCAGTTAAGGATGTTCATAAGATGGATGAATGTGTGCAACTGGACCAAAATTACCAAGTTCACTTTGTAGAGGCCACCTAGGAACTGGCAAATGGAAATGACCTTATAATATTGCCAAGATAGTTAACTGGAATCACTGAAGTCCATTGAAAATTTAGTTTGCATAATGGCACACCACTAAATCCGCAGCGAAGATAGAACAGACTCTCTCCTCCTTGGTCACCATTTCTGTGATTCACCCACATGACTTATGTTTGAAACAGCCATGCTCCACAGATCTGTTCTGGCTTATTTGGCTCCACTGAAGCATGTTTTTTTGTCGTACTACAGAAAACGAAAAATTCACAGATGAGAAATACAGTTGAATACAACATCAGCACAAGAGTCTCAATTACCTTGTGAAGAAAATAAAACTATAAAGAATGACCACGTAATTGCACAGCATGGAAATAAAGGGAATCAGAATCACATGGTGGGCACAGAGGAAAATAATTTTTTGTAGGACCAGATGCTGTAACAGAGGTTCAGCACAATATAAAGTCCTGTACCTAAAGCCGCTCCTACTAAATGTTCTGATCAAGACAATAAAAGGAAAAAAATTTTACATCATGATAAAAAAAGAAAAGTTTTTTTAAAAAAAATCTAAAGCAACCATTTGAAATAAAACTTCTAAGAAAATATATTTATCTTAGCCTCTTTTGGGCCTAATAAATCCATGGCTCTTCTAGAAAGTAGAGAGAATAGGATCAGCCAGAGCATGGCTGGTATGAAATTGAAATCACAGAAGTTCAGAAAGAGGAATTATTTTCTAAATGCATATAGCAAATAGCAAGAAGGGGCAAAACCAGTAAGTTTCAAGCTTCCCGAAAAGGCTTTGGTAAAAGACTGCAGTAATTTGTGACACAGGCCAAAAACTAACAAATATAGCTGCCCAAAGGAAAAAACCACTGGCAACAAAAGACAGATGCTGACAAAGCTGGACTTGAAGAATTTGTATTTTATGTGGACCTGGTTTAAAACCAAACTGTGACTCTCAACTTACTCAGAAACAGTTTCGACTTGGCTAACACTCCACCCATAACAGACTACTGTGCAAATTTATTTTACTGAAGCATGAATCATTTCAGCCCATACAAACATTTCTTTCCAAAAGCTTTGCTCAAAAGTGTTTATGGACTTAAAGGAAAATGAAAATGCACTACGACAATTGAAGCGTTTGCCAATTACAAGCCAGTTCACCAGCATATTCACAGTTACCTACAAGATTCCTTTGTCATATTAATCACTGATAGTACAGTAGTACTGTACCAGCACAGCACTGTACAAGCTGCACCTCAGTGTGAATAAGGATTTTGCACATCCCAAGGCAGCAGAAGAGCAGAACATCTCTTACTGCTGCTGGCCTTTGAGACTATATCAAAGAAGGCAGCTTCAGACTGGCCTCTGGAATCCAAAGCAATCCACACCTGTACAGCTCTGAAGCTGTTTCTTATTCTCCCCTATTTGACAGATGGCTACTGATTGCTGACTTGAATAATACAGTTACCTTCAAAGATACCAGCTTCTCTACACTTAAGCTGCCAGTAGCGAGATGACACAGATTGGTAACGAGCTCCTAAATCGGGGTACGTGCTCAACCGCATACCTGGAGTTATTCTAAGGAAGCCTCTTCTGCTCTAGACTGGTTAATAGCAAAATGTACCCGCATTAATACAAACTATTTAATAAAAGACCTTCACTAAAGTTTATACTGGTGCAAGTAACCCTAAAGAAACTAATAGATCGTTGCTTTTCTACACTAGTTAGTCAATTAATGATTAAATCAATTAATCATCGTCCTTTAAACTGGGAGTACAACAACTGGACAAAGCATTCCAGGACTAATCTAGTGCATATACCTTCCCCTACACAACTCAGCCACTGCTCCTTATGCATCAAAGGATATTGCCACTTCTCACATCAGCCACTCCTGATACACTGGTTTTCCACTGTGAACTGTACTGCTTTTTTCAGATAGCATTCTTTCCAGGATGCTGTCCTCCACTGTGGGTAGGCCCTGCATTCTCTGTTCCTAGAGGTATGACCTTCTCCTTGGCTGCATTAAAGCAAATTTTATTGGAGTAGGCCAGTACCTCAGGTCACTCAGCGTAACTGAGAATAGAGTTTGGAGCCATCGTGTTTAAACAAAAGTAATATGGATGGCTTCCAAATTCTGGGAAGGTTTGTTCCCCAGATTCATTCTGTGAGAGATGTGATATAAAAATGTAAATGAGAGCCAAGATTATTTATACTGAAAAATAAACAAAAGGATTAAATTTCTAGTTATTAGGAACCAATGGAAATTGTCTCTAAAATGACCTTACCTTTCATCTTGACCGAGTAAAAGGCAACAGCCTCACCATTTCTCCAGAGTATCTTGGCACATTCCGTGGCAGAGTGGGGTAGAAAAAATGCATCATTAGCTGAACTCCCTTCCAGCATTCCAAAAATAATGTAGTTCAGAACAAAGAGGACAATCCTTTCTCCAAATGTCTGGACCTTAGAGAACAAACAAAAACAGACCAAAGAAAAATGAAGTGGAGAATAATATTTTGCATTTCATAAAAGGTTTCAAAATTAAAAGAAGCTGGGAAGGAGGAGGTCAGGGAACACGTACACTTAATTTGGGGAAAATACCTCATGAATTGGTTCAGACAGAATGACAAGAACAGTTTTTCTAGTGTTCTGCCCTCTATCCAGAGGGCATAGAATAATTTAGTAACAATGTATAAAGCTTCACACATCTCCTGTTGTCACAGAGAGGAATTCTAAAGCAGCAGGAAAAGAAGGATCTTGATTGTAGTCACAGCGAACTAGTCACAGAATTGGAAACAGGTTCAAGGTGATCTAATCCTATCCAAAAGTGAAATAAAGATAAGATTCACTGTGTTATCCTGGTAACCTCTCCCCTGTTACCTGTCTTGTCACAGCATCAAAGAACTTCAGTAGGCCAGGACCTTACTGAGGTAGCCACTATACAAAACAGAATAAATACAGTCTGACCCGAGCGTCTTATAATCTAGGTGTAACACAAACAATTAGTTTTTATGCTATGCTTCTTACTAGACAAACAACAGGACACGGAGAGGGAGGAATAGAAAGGAACAAGATCATATTGGTCATCAAGGTAAAAAGTGGTGCCAAGAAGCTTTATACGAATGCCGGAAAAGAAAATGACAGTTTCCACAAATAATGACTTACCTCTTAGCAATGAGCTAAAAGGAGTAAGATGTTCATTTTCAGACATTTTTTCATTCTCTATTCATACAGCAAACGCTTGAAAGTCTGAAAGCCAGAGTTTCTGCCCCAAGTTCTATCTTGCAAGGATTTGTGTCTCAAAATCCCTCCAGTTCCGTTGCCCACAAAAAGTCTATTTAATTCAGTGAATAATTAAACTGTATATATGGCAGATATTACGGAGAGATGATAAAGGACTAGAATCATTAAGGACCAAAGCTGGACAAATTACAAAAAAGTAGTTGTATCCTACTAATAATTTATTTGGGAAACAAATTACAGATATATAATCTATTAAATAACTACAGTTCATAAAATGAACACAATATAAACATCATCCAAAGTAAAAAAAAAAAAAAATTGTAACTAGCTAGATAAGACATCGTTCCAAAAGATAGTAACTTCTCATCAGACAGTCAGCCAAGCAACACTAGTGTGAAGAGTTACTGCTAACAATTACCTGGTTATTCCTTTAGTTGTCAGTGAGGGTAAACTAAAACGAAAAACTAATAAATACCACAGATCGATCATAAACTGCATGCAGAAAATTGTTTAGAGAGGGTTAATGTGAATGCCACTGTGCAACAGGAGACATGCAAAGCACTTGGTGAGCCATGTAGCCCAGATCCAACAGTTTATAAAGCATGAGCTATAGAAGACCAGAGACAATTACACAATTGTTCCAGCTGGGAACTTCCAGGGTAAAGGCAACTGTTTAAAACAGCATCCTTACCGAAATTAGCCCATCTCTAGAAGGATCAGCTGTCTTTACTACATCTTCAACAGGCCACCAACAATGGTTCAGATAAATTGCCAAAACTACAAAAAGAAAAAGACAGGTGAACACATTATCTGCAAACAAATACAAAGCTGGTTCTGAACCTTTCCACAAGCAGCCTCAGATCTACCTCTCCCTCCAGCTGACTCCAGCTTGATCTGCTATGAGACAGCAGAACAACGATTGTATTTCAATTTCACCTCCAATCCCCTTGATATCAAATTTTCAGTACTGCAAGAGGCATGAAATGAAGGTAATTTTTCTCAGGAATTGATGTGACTTTGGTGTGACAAGCTGTGTGCCATATGAATAAAGCACTTACTTTGTTCAGTAAGTTTGAGTGGTATTTGGGATAAAGTGAGCTACCTAGCTACAGGTCACATTTTTGAAGTTTCTTTCAGACTTTCCCCTGTCCACATGCATACATGCACGTATTTGCACTCACACCAGTCAAAGTTTTCATATGCACTTTAACAAACAGCTTTTCAGCTGCCTATGTGATTGAATTTCAATATATCTGTACGTTTGGAATACAGTCTCCTAAATCTCTGCATGGACAGGTATTCTCAGAAGTTCAAATGCACGCCGAGCGGTTTCTGCCAACAAAGGACAGACATACACACACATAAGTAAGATATACTTTGCCCTGAAGCAAAAGTGTATGACCAGCCTACAAGTCACAGCTCCTAGTGTAGGTGCTACGCAGAACTTACACCCCACTTCTTCCCAACCCAATGAATTCTTCCCAAGAATTCATTGCCTGCCATTAGCTTTGCAAGAGAAAGACTGAAGCAGCGACAGTGACACTGCAATTGCTCCCAAGCCCTGCTCAGAAAGAAAAGTTTTAACACATGGTCATTTCAAAGGATATAGAATGGATTTTAACGATAAACAGAAATTTAATCATTTATGATCACCAACACATCAAGCAGTAAATGTTGCAGCAAAAAGGACTTTTATTATCCGTAGAGCGGTGACATTCACCTAAAGAAAGTACATGGCCACAATTTCAGGAGCACTGAAGAACGCCAATACCTTTACTATCTTCAAACAGGGCAGCTAGCATCCTCCCTTTTAGACAAAAAGATAAAACATCACATAGAAAGTATGTTACAAAGAACAGCAGAGTCCGCACCTCTTGACTCCTAAGGGAGTGCACTGTCTACTTGTTTTCTAAGCTACTCAACCAGGGACAAACAAGAAAGTTAAAAATCATCTACCAGTTGGACACAAATTTACACGTAAAGAAATGAAATGGCTTTAACAGGATTCATCATTATTTACCTGCTCTAGCCTCAGGTTATACAAATGTCACTGACGTGCACAAGTTAGTTTCCCTTTTTGCTTCAGCCTCTACCAGCTCCTGCTGCCTTTAAGACTGGAGATTCCGCTTAGCTAACTTATATTTCAAGTAAATTATTAAAGCATGTGCCAAAAAGTGTTACACTTTGTGTACTGGTTAACAATGAAGAAAGTATTGCACGCAAGGGCAGATGCCTGTTTATAGCATCAGATTCAATTCATTAAATATTATGCACTTACTTGCATGGGAGTTTCATACTCTTCGTGTGATGGATTCAATCTGTTCCCTCAATCCCTTCCCTCTGCTTTCAAAAGCAAGCAGCCACTGCTCCATTACATATCCATGAAACTTGCAGCTACAAAGGGAGCTGAGTCAGACAAAGGGGACATAATGGGCCAAATGCTGACTTTAATGAGAGCCGCACAGAGGTTTGGCACATAGTTCAGACACATTCAACACTCTTAGTAAAGGTCAGAAAAGTTTTAAAAATCTTTGAGGAAAATAGGAAGATCCATAACCATGTTCTAAGGAGCTACTTTTATAGAACATTTACTGTGCTATTCAATAATTTAAATGTGTGGAAGGGAACACTAGTTGACATAGCAACTGTCACATCACATTACTTGAGCAATCTTATCTATATGGATGCCTTTCTTGAAGAAAAAACACTTCTCCAGATTTCACTCAAACATATGTACTTTGCTTTTTGTTATCGTTTTTCAAGTCAACATCTGGTCCACAGTTAAATCCATCCATGCTTCCCCATATTCTCATTTTCATTTTATAATCAACTTTGAGGAACACTATTTCAAATGCAAACACGTTTTGTGAGACCACATGTTCCTTCACTCGCCTTCCCAAGTCTTGTTCTTTCCAAGACATTCGGTTACGTTCACCTGATCGTAAGAGATCAAGTTATTGCCAACAGTAAGTTACACATATCACCTGAACCCTGTGAATCATGATGTACATGATTACAATGATCTTGCAATTCCAAGACTTGATGTGCTTGATCTTGCAATTGCAAGACGAGGTGAGATGGATCAAATCCAAAACATTTCAGTTCACAATTAATGGAGTATATACATGCCCAGTTGGGTGGCTTGCCCTGTAAGCACCAGCTTGCTAAACCTCAGTCCTTTGATCACCCACAGTCAGACAAACATACTCAAGAGTATTCCAAGAAGCTGAGAGCCTGTGAAGCACACTGTTCCATACCACTACAGGTATTTCGAATACAGTACTGAAAAACATCGAATTGAATTAGGCGCTAAGCGTAATGCAATTGTGATTATGAAATGTCTCCTTCTCCTAAGCAAAGATGGAACCCTGCCCAATCCAGGTCTGGATTATATTTTTACTTTCTAGGCTATGCTGGCCAAATACTCCCACACTGGCGTGGCAACTGTTTGAATGAAATGTGCACATCAGGACTCTACACATAGAGCAAAGCAGAAAAATTAAAGCAACATCCAGCTTGGTACTTCTTTCTCCTGAGCCGTCATCTGAATTGCTGAAACACACCCCTCAGTCACAAACTAAATTAAAGGCAATGCTATATACAAGAGAGGTAATTTGAGTCTGTTTAATAAATATAGAATGTACCAGTTCTTTACCTTAGATAAAGTCCTCTTTACCTTAACTTTGGCAGTATTTCGGATTGATGGCAGACTTATAGAGGCAGCTTTTGCCAGATTTCCACCGTAGAAGGAGAATGGTAAACTACCCCAACAAGTAGTTCCACGCAATTGAGCCTAGGTCAGCTCTGATAATGGAGCAAGCTCAGAGGTCCTACGTTAAACCACATTCTGTCATACCCTGAAGAGCTGTGTCCCTCAGTTCCCTATGTTTAAAATGAAATAAGAGCATTTCTCTCTCTCTCCTAAGAGTCTTATCAAAATAAATACATTAAAGCTTGGGAGGCATGCAGATGCTGCAGTAATGGCAGCCGTTCAAGTAGCTAAGATAGATATCTTTCCTGCAAACAATTACATCTTCTTCTACAATTTGAGTTTTACTTAGTGATTTGCTGCAAGTGTCTTGTGATAAATGTTCCATGGCATCTAACAGTTATTGTAAATTATTATATACAGCATACAGAAAATGCCACAATAGGGTATGTTTATTTAGAGTTATAAAGATGTTAATCATCCGTGCTATGCTCTGTAAGCCCCTACAATGCAATTTACATTCTCACAAAAATATCTGTAGAGATATACTAACAGAACAGAACACTCAGCCCACCAAAAATAAATTAAAAATTATCTCAACCAAGACTAAGTCCTATGGAAAAGGTACCATATCAATTTTCTCTTCGAAATATGCAGGTCATTTCAGACCACAAGCTACGCATCACTTCTGGACAACTCATCTGATTGAGATGATCAGATCTAAATCTCAGTGTTGGAATGAAATCCTCTTTAACCTACGTTCAAGAATTAAATGCCATCGAACTTCAAAGCTCTTCACAGGCAAACTTGTAGCTAGGCTGCTAAATTCAGTATTTTTCCAGAGTCTAAATTATTACAATTTCAAACATAAATTATTAGATTGACAATATTTTCTTTGGGAAAATAAGTATATTACAGTGGATATTATTTCATAAGCATTATATACAACATTTTATCTACGCAATACTTCACCATTATAGATGTAAACACAAATGAAGTTGAAAGAAGAAATCCCATCACATACAAACGTAAGACACACAAGGTATACAGCTTTCTCACTGAGATTAAGGTACTGCCCAGGTATGTGTTTAACCCCAGCGACTGTCAGGAAAACTAAATTGAAAAGGCTCTAGTCAGGGTTTTGGCAGTCACCAGTCAGGAAAACCATGAGAGCAGAAGGCAGCCGTGGCTCTTGGGAGCGATATGATATGGTCTCAGAGCATCACATGAGCTGTGGCAGGATCAAGCAATGAAGACTCCAACACTTTCTTGCTGCTTCACTACTCACATCAGGACCTGAGAAGTAGACAACTAAACACGCCCTACTGACTTACTAGCTGCATCTTCTACTGTTTCCAAGTGCTTCTCAGTAAAGCACCTCTACCCCAGTGTATCCTGGGACACCCTTGGCTGCCTTCCCCCAGTGGACTTCAGAAATGTCCAAATGAATTGCAAGAGGAAAAATCAGTGGGCCTTGTTTGCATTAGCAAGAGTAACATTAACAAATCTAAATTCCCAGAGCAAAACATTTGGTGCAGAAAACCTGATGGTCACAAATACTAGCCTGGTGCTGAAAACTAAAAGCCCATTAGAGGTTGGGGCACATCAGCATGCCTCTGGAGTGCATCCTCTCATTCAATTTCAGCCAAAAGTAATCCAGTTCACGCACTCCGAGACTGCTCCTTGATATGAACTGAAGCACAGTACCTGGGGTCAACCAGGAAATTTGCTCCTAAGAGCACTCCTGGTGCGAAGTAAAATTAAAATGCAGATGCACTGCACAGCACATGAGAGAGAAAGATCAACTACAGCAAAATCATTTGCGTCTCCCATCTGGATGAAACTCGAGTTCACAAGAAAAGCGTAAAGCTCAAGGGAGGGGAAAAAAAAACATGCAACCTGTTTAGTGTTTTAACTTTCTGCCCATGTCCTCAAGTAACGATGACTGAGTTGGTAAATATTGCTTTTCTCTGAAGGGATTGGTTTTGAAACAATTTGGTCTGTGCACTGGTCAGAACAAAAGGTCATACAGGTAAGCAAATCCAGATGAACTTGCCACATTAACACAGTCTGCTGCCTTAAGAGTCAATTCCAAATCTGTTGAACTGTGGGAAAAATATTTGGACAAAATACTTCAAACGTATATACCCGTATATATAGGCATGCATACATATATATATACACACTCCAGCAGACTTTAGAGAACTAATGAAAATTTATTAAAACTCATCTAAAGAAAAAAAAAATCACAGTCAGATTTGATGTGTGTAGGAAGGCTGGTCACATGTTTATAGCATACAAAATCCAGAAACAAAGAACTTCCAGTAAAATCCTTTAAATCATACTTTTAAAAGGAAATATTAAAAGCCAGATGATGTAGGCCTTACTTAAATAACGAGACTGACTGATCTCTGTGAGACTGTTTCTGTGACTATGGGCTGGTGACTCAAGGTAAAGTTTTGAAAGAGGGTCACAGTAGTCAGTCATTCTGTTGTTTATAATATAATAAGGTATTTATTCTGCTAGGCTTAAGCTTTTAATGTAGATAACTATCATATAATTTAGGCTCCAACGTGGACTTGTTTTACTTGTTCCTGTGGGAAATCATTTCTTCCTTGTACATGTATCTCATTAACACTTGTTGTTCCTAATACTGTTAGATCATTTAACTGAAGATTTGTGCTAAATGCACTGCTTCCACCTGCATTTATTTAACAATTTATTTTTGCATTGTAGTTGTTACAGATTCCCTCTCCTCTTGTGCAGCCTAAACTAGCTTAACACTGCTTTCAACTACATTCCTTTGAACATGAGTCGGCAGGTAGGCACAACGGCACTCAGAGCAAGTTTGGCCTCCGGTGTAGATTCTTCTCTCCTTTATCACACCAGTGTCTATCCCTCTTCAGAAAAATGCTAATGGAATATATACATTAATGTCAGGAAAGTAATTCTATATCAATAGTTTTGGAGGGACCAGAAAGCCTTTTGACTACACTTGTAACTTGGAAAGGTCTCCTACCTTCAACTATGTGAATCACAACCCATTAGCGAACGTCCAATTGAAAGCGTATGTAAAAGGAGCTGGAAAACTTTGCAGAGTTCACCTCTAACCACAGATGATTTTAATCTGGTTTTTGTTCTTATGAAGAAATTTGCTGGTTACAGGGTTTGGACTGACCAATGAAGGCTTAGCTACACTAATAGTACCTGTTCTGGGAGTGTAAGATCGTTAACCTGACACATAGTTAGAGCTGAACAAAGTGCTAAACCTCTTTGCCTTGCCGTTGTTGTACGCTTAAGAATACTGGCTATAAAAGTCTTTCAGGCATAATTTATGGCTTATCCTTTCAAAAAAAGAAAGGTATGTTTTTCATGACAGATGTCATCAGTTTGCTGCCACATTTGGAAGCTGAAAGTTTAAGAGGCTTCATGTGTTCTGTATCCCCTCCTCTAAGTGACACAATGGGTCAATGCATAGGTTCATGTCTTTGTTGTAGATGTTCCAAAAATCATATGGCCCATTGCTTCACAGCAGGTCCAAAACTTCTCATTTAATCTAGGTGAGTCGCAACCTAGGCTTCCGGTACTATGCAACTTGGATCAAGTTTCCTGTTAATGACAATGGTATCAAGAGTCATTACTTATTTTATATTTGTGTTTTTTCACATGCCATAGTCAAAGACACTAGCCTAAGAGAAAAAGCAGGAAGAAATCAGGCTGTATCTGAAGATATTGCGATCCTGATAGCTGGAAGATACACTTAGATACAATTATTGATCAAATCTTAATAACTCGTTGATACTCTAAGCAGTGACTCATGAAACAGAAACACCAGTAAGCACATGCTGACTTCTATTGCCTGTAACTCAACTGGAGTGTATCCCTGTCAGGCTGACGCCGGGCTGTAATAGGAAAACACCAGCGTTACTCGTTACTAGTAGTAAGAGAGGCAAAGCTGGTAGAGCTTAAAGAAAATCTTGGGAGAACTGCCAAATAAAATGGATTTAACTCAGTTCCTGAGCATGGTCTCACACCGAATTTATCCCTCACACACCAATACTGGAAATAGGAGGCAATTAAACCTAGAATTGAAGAAGATATCGTAAAGTAAAAATCACATGAGTAAGAATCATTATCATTAATGTATCATTAATATAATTTCACATATATATTTGCTCGTTTAAGGATTTCAGAATTCTATCCAAACTATAATGCACTAAATTCACATCATCCTGAATTAGAAAAATATTATCTCATTGAACAAACTCAGAAAGAATAACATATTTACCCAAGGTGACTTTTCAGGTAACAGCAGAGCTACGCATCAAATTTAAAGGCCCTGATTGTCAGTCCTTCCTTCTAATCAGCAGACCACCAACACAAATCCACTTCATATTCAAAACAAAACCCGAAATATTTAAATACATAAACCAGCAGATCATCTTAAAAGTAAAGAAAGTACAAGTACTCAATTTTCAAAATAATTTGACCAATTCTAACCTGTCTCTTTATCCTTTGGATCAGTTAACAGCAACATTTTGCAAGTAGGATTATTTCGGTAGAGGGGGACAAAACACACACAGGAATCTTCAAGTTTAACCTAAAAAACAAACAAGTCCTGTAGCTGTTTGTACTGCCAAAGCTCGCAAGAAGTATTTCATGTATTAGATGAACTTATGGTATGTTTTACTAACATGCATTGTGTAAGCTGAGCACAACACCCTCTCAATCCTGAACTTCGAGGTGCTGAAACATACATAATATTCTAATATTATCGGCAAGTAATGTTAATTTAAAAGAAATCAAGCTACTGAAGTTAGTGAAGACCTTAATGCTGACTTACTATGATTAGTACATAACCTGGCTTTGAACGCTGTTACATGCAGACAAATGTTGTTATGAAAGACCAGACACATCAAATAAAAACAAATACAACTTGCACTTCTTACAGCATCGTCCAGCTGAGTATTTGTGGTGTTTTGCAAACAATGAATTAAGCCTTAGGGTACAGGGAGTATCAAAGCATTAGGGCAGTGCCTGGGCAGTTTATCTGTGAGGCACAGGGAGGGTAGATAATTGGCACAAGGTGGTTATGTTGCAGGCAAAGCTAAAATCAAAATGCAGTGCTCAAGCTCTCAGTCTTAGACTAAACTTCCAAATGATGTGACACACAAACACAAAATTATTGTGCTCAAACAGCTCTATATGCATAGAGATGACGATTTCCATATGAATATTGCAAACACTCTCATGTAAGTTTAGGTACAGGCAAAGAGCATGCATAATTTAGCACAGTATGTACTGTACTTTCAAAAATCTGGTCCATTGTGTATGTGTGGGTGTGACTCTCTCTCTAATTGCACCCATTTGTCAGTTTGCTATGAAACTCAAATCAGTCATGTGATACATTTATTATTTCATGGTGCATGGAAGAAGTAGTATGAATATGGATTTTTCAAGATAACAACTTTAAGCTGAAACCAGTATTCACTAGTGCCAGAATCCTGGGATCATTTATGCAAACACTGGACTCCAGGAAAAAAACTGAAAACTGCCTGAAATCTGTATTCAAGAGCTTCCTGAAATCTCAGTATGTTCTGGGGATTCAGTCGTTCGTTGCGTGCTTCAGATATAACAGCATCGAAGTCATTATGGTACCTGGGAGCATTACTATAATAAAAAGGCCAGTATTATTTCCTATACTGCTATGATCGTTATTTTGTTTTATAAGGTAATGCACACTTTCACAGGTGCTAACAACATCAGCATGAGCCAAGCATAGCTTTCTGTCTATGAAGGCTGCCAGTGTGCTTCCATCCTGACTTGCAATAATCCTTGCTATTTGTGTACTGAATGCTTGTCCAAAGACCATGCCATACCAAAAAGATGTTCTGTGACCAGAGCAAGTGGGCTGACAGCCACTTGACACTTGCTAAATAATTATTCATGGTTGCCGGTCCTGACACTTGAAACCTGCTTTAACTCAGATGCACAGAGGAAAAAAAAAAAAAAAAACCTGGTAACTGCAGCAATTATTCAAACATCAGAATCTTCATCCTTCAGGTTGTAGGTATATAACAGAGATCGTTAGCTCAAATGTTCACTGGGGATGTGGGCTTTACCTTATTACATTTGATTGATTTTTAGTTACAAAATATCAGCATTCTTTGAACTATTTATTATGGAGTATAAGGAAAAAAAAACTATACAGCAAGAACATTACCATTACTTATGTCCTTGAGTAGCTGTCTGACTGCCGATTAGATTAGACCCGAATTAAATGAATGCAAAGAGAAATACGTTGCTATGAGACTCAAATCAGTCATGTGATACATTTAAGGTCTGATGACAAGCCACAAAATCAAGACAGTTCTGAATCAAAAGCCAGAAGTCCATCTTTAACTGATTTCACTGTGTCTAGCTGTTGCAGGAATACACAAAACACTGCTTGTGATCTTAATTTACCCTCCCTTCTCATGGAACAGCAAACGAGCCTCTAAAAGTACAACCAGGCAGGCATGAAAGGCTGAGGTAAGGACACAGAAGCTCTGAACTGGGGGATCTTTGCATTTTCAGGTTTGTATTTAACCCTACGTGGTCCACTAGAGGGCATTAGAAGAGTATTTAAAGCTAGTTGCATTCACGGCTCAAAGATGAAGCTAGCCACCTCAAACAGCAGTTTTCTGGAAACTACTGCATGTTATTTTCCCAAATTGTAGAAAAGTCACCGTATTTCAAACATTTATTTCAACTCATCTGCTTGCGGGTTTGATAGTACAATACCAGTTAGGCCAGGACACCCTTTGTGATGTAGAAAACGCACAGAATGAAAGGTTTCACCGGTTGACTGAAGTCAGAGTTCTTAACAGGCCTGCTTAGTCATCTCCAGTGCATTCCCCAGGTGGCTCAGGAATGGACCCTAAAGCATTGGCACCTACAGTATTTACGCCATCTATCAATAACATCTGATCAGAATTGCTTTGGGAGAATCCGCATTCAAAATTATCAATATAAGTATTGGAAAGAACAGAAACAAAAGATTGACTATATCACGATACCTGTGTCAACTGCACAGCAGAGGCAGAATACAGAGCTGTGCGATGGTATGAACGTCTGTCACATTCACTTTTGATTGGGGCCTATAAGGAGGCAGGTCAAGATGCAAAGTTCAGCTAAGTACTTCAAACCCTCATCCACACTCAGAGGGTTTTAGACTTGTAGTTTTAAGCTTATCTCTCACTTGCAGCATGCAAGCTATTTGAAATTGTGCAGAATTTGCTGATTTTAAGAGATTTGTAGTCTGGCCACACCAGTTTACCCCTATTGACAGACAGACTATGAGCACAACCAACAGACTAGCTTACAAGTATCTAACTTGCAGTATGAAAAACTACCTCTCCTCCTCCAGGGATCAAAAAAACATCAGGAACAGACGAAGATTTCTTCAAGAGTTTTTCATAGTAAGTTTCAGCATCTCCTTGCAGAACCTCTGGGTCTCCTCCTATCGCATCTACCAGGTAAAGGCAACCTGCAGTTAAAATAAAACACAAGATATTTTTACTTTTTAAATGAACTAAGAAACACAAGTTTTAAAACCTCATTTCCCCAGCAGCTGCTTGGTGTAGCTGGGCCCTTATTGTTCCCATTTGAGCCTTTTGTATAATCCTAGTCTAAAATAGTAAGGCTGGTAAAAACCTATCTATATGTTATTTATCTCTTGACATGCAATTTTACAAAGGAGAACCATGACAGCATCAAATCACACTTGTCTCCTTTGAATTCAACAAGCATAGTCTCAAATTTCTCTGGGTGTAAATAAATTCCATTAAAGCTGGGAGAACAAAAAAACTTCTTCAAAACACAGCCTGAGTTTTAGTACTGTCCAAAAACATAACAGGAAAAGAATTCCAATGCTTCCAGTCTTTCTTGGAAGACTTCTCCTTTATGGGTCAGTCCACGATCTGTTGTGTATCATTAGTTTTCTCTATTTTGAGTAACTCCAACTGGGCACTTTCACAACAATGAAATAATGTCAAAAAATATTGAAATATTTACCTACATGAGTTCCCAAAATAGCAACCATTATCTTTTATGCAACACAACTTTTAATGCGTGTGACTTAATGCTGAAGGGTATTCATGCAAGCTACTTGTTAATTGCATGCAAACAAAAATTACACACATCTGATGCCTGGTACCTAAATGCAGAGTCCAACTTGGTGCTCGTGAGGAACCAAGCAACCTCTTTCTGATATAACAAACCAGACTGATTGATGGCTCATCACCGGCTCAAGATAGAGAACATCAGAAGAAATGAGTTAGCAGTCCAAATAGTATTCTGCCAGTCTTCTACCGTAGGAAAGAAATAGTAGCTTTCAATCAACAAGCTACACCTGTAACTCTTGCAAGCCCCAAACTGAGGAAAAAAATCTTCTACCTTGCTGCTGTAGTTGAAATCTTAGTTCTGAATCCTCCATTTTTAATCATGGTTTGCTCCCACATGGCAGCTCCTCTGACTGAAATTTAATGTCAAATAACTGCACTGATAGTAAGTGCAAAGTAAACAGTTGAAACAATGAATTATAAAAGTAGCATATTGAAAATGATACCTTTCCACATAAAAGTAGGAGCATGGGATTTGCAGTACCAGGTCAGACTATTCACCCACGGTCCCACCATCCTGCCTCTGACAGCAATCAGTATCTGGTTCCTCAGCAAAAGGGTAAGAAACTACAACTGACAATTCACCACCACCCAGCACTGCTTAAAATGCTTTAAACATTATTTTCCTGCCCTTTGCAGGCAATCAGCTTACATCCTGAGGCTTGACAGCAAAGCTATACAGTCAGAATGCTGAACAGAAGCTACTCTGTAAATGGCTTTCATAGTAGGTTTGCAAGGGACAAAATGGGAGAGAAAACAGCATTGCAACACTGGCAAGTTGAGTCACATTTTAAAATCCCAGCCAGTTCTCAGCAGTGGCAATTTTCTTCTTCAGCAGCCTTCCCCAGTGTACTGTGTTACCATCATCTAGCAAAGAAGCCATGTAAGGGAAAGAAATTAAAGATTATTATTAAAAACTTTCATCATTTACTGAAGTAAATTTACTGGTTGTGCTGGTTTCAGCTGGGATAGAGTTAATTTTCTTATAGTATGCAGTATGGGGCTACGTTTTGGATTTGTGCTGGAAACAGTATTGCTAATGCAGAGATGTTTTTGTTATTGCTGAGCAGGGCTTGCACAGAGTCGAGGCCTTTTCTGCTTCTCACACCACCCCACCAGTGAGTGGGCTGGGGGGCACAAGAAGTTGGGAGGGGACACAGCTGGGACAGCTGACCCCAACTGACCAAAGGGATATTCCACCATACAAGGTCATGCTCAGCATATAAAGCTGGGGGAAGAATGAAGAGGGCAGACGTCTGGAGTAGAATCACAGAATAGGAGTGATGGTGTTTGTATTCCCAATTAACTGTTAGGCATGATGGAGTCCTGCTTTCTTGGAGATGGCTGAACACCTGCCTGCTGATGGGAAGCAGCAAACGACTTCCTTGTTTCGCTTTGCTTGCGTGCATGGCTTTTGTTTTACCTATTAAACTCTCTTTATCTCAACCCACAAGTTTTCTCACTTTTACCCTTCCGATCCTCTTCCCCATCCCACCAGGAGGGAGGGAGTGAGCAGCTGCGTGGTGCTTTGCTGCCGCTGGGTTAAACCATGACACTAGTAAATTAATTCTTTGCAAAAGAGCAGCATGTAAGACTTAAGGTTAGCACAAAGAAAAATATTGCCCATGCTAATAAATACTATTCATGAGCTACTGCTTACAAGGCTGCATCCTGCTATTGTTAAGCCAAAGCAACTTAACAAGCACAACCATCTTTTCTTCTCACTGAACAAAACAACTGGCACCTTCAAAGTTACACTAACTTTCTGGTACATAATATGCTTGTATCCTAAGGTAATAGTGACCATTTGAAGAATGAAATAATGCCACAAATTAAATAATGAGGCATTAGAGAAAACATCTCATCAACTTTCCATTAACACAAGCTTTCTAGAGAAGTAATTTTTTTTTTCTAAAAAAATGCTTTTGGACTTTCAGTTAACTTGTCCTTCCTGTGTAATACTCTGAAAACACCCAAGTGAGTTAGGAGCACATATTCCAATAAAGAGGAAATAAAAAAATTTTTCATTATAAAATGAATCTGTCTCAGTTTCCATATATGGGGGGGAGGGGGAGGTGTGCAGGGGGAGGAGAGAGAGAGTGAGAGTGAGGTTCCTTTAGGGACAATATTGAGCAGAAGTCTAACTTCAGATACCCTGGAGTATCCTCAAGAAGTCAGTTGTGCTAAGGCTGACATTTGTGAACGTCCCCCCAAAACCTGCACACACATGCACATACCACTACAATATTGTTCAGCTGCCATAAGGCAGGAGAAAAATCACTAGTTTGAAGGGGTTTTTTTACAGTAACTAATGTGTTTCCCAGTTTTCCCCAGTACAAAGTGAAGAAATTATATTTGCCCTCCTGAGTATGTCCCTTTTATGCTTTTTCTGTATATAGAAACAAAAAAAACGACCTCAACAAAGTCTAACTCTAACTATTGTTATTAGGCATTTGACTACAACAATAATTATTGCTGGCCACCAGGATGTTAGAAAGGTTCCAAACTCAACTGCAAAATAATTTGTTAACTTCGCTTTGAAAGAAAAGCAGCGACAGTCTCCTGCGAGTGCTTCAGTCTGAGGCCCCTATCACCACCTTGGGACACCAAAATTGCAAAGTTCCAAGGACAGCCTTTTAACCTAATTTGAATTACAGGATTTCATCCGAATTTGATCGTACCTAGCGGCAACAAAAGAGCACATTGTGGCAGCCATCCGCTAGCCACCCAGCGAGCACTTCTTTCAAAGAGACGATGCGCACAAAGGGTTACCATCTGGGGGAGGGAGGGAGCCGGGAAGGGGGGAGCGAAGGGAGGCAGGGGGGGTGAGTCATTAAAAGGAGGCCTCTTGCTGCAGCCACAGAGGAGGGACCATAAACCATAAGGAGAGTAAATTTAGAACAGGAGGCTTACTGCATTAGAGGGATTCCTGACATTTGCGCTGAAGTGGCTGGCATCTAAAAAAAAATAGCCAAAGCTGGTAAACAAGGTCAAGGCATCACCTAGGAGGATCCTGCAGCAGCAGTGACAATGAAGGGTTTATGGACAGGTATCAGACTTTGTCTTTTACAGGGCACGGGCATTCAGGGCGATGGAGGAGGAAGTGTATGCAATTCCACTGAAAAAAACTTGTCTAGAGATAAATAAATGAGAAATCCGCATGGGCATATTTCCATTTCAAGCATACAGAATAGATTTTAAAGCAAAAACACTGCTTCTGTTTCTCCCCTCTTTTGTTTCCATGGAGCAGTCTGGGCCACATTCTCAAGCAAGGATGTGTAAGTGCTTCTCTCATTCTAGTGATCTGTCATCAATTTGCACTAAGAATCTGTTTTTTAAAGTGAAAAGCTACAGCTAAAACCAGCTACGCAAACAAGCAGGCACTGCCCTGCCTGAATAACGTGGTCACCTTTACGAGACACTACCCTCCAGCACCTATGGGTACCTCAGCCTAAAACATCATGCAACTCTGCCAATAAGGCATAAACCAAGGCCCCTGTTTCAGTCCTGATCCCTAAACTTGGCTCTTTCTAAACCCACTGCTATTCCATCTCTGTTTTTCTCCAGAATAAAGCACTGAATTTTATGGTGGTTTCATGAAATGGACAAATATCCTTCTTTAGAGGTAAAAGTCAGACAAAGTTCACTTCACTTATGATGCAAAAAAGACCAATATGTGAGAATCCAGATAGATCTGACTAACATGCTGATGTTCTACATCACGTAGATAAATAACAAAAGCAACCATAAAACAGAAGACAATATTCTACCTTAAACTAGAAATTAATTTTTGTAGATTAGAGACAGACCCCCACCATTACAGATTCAGCAAGAATTTCATTCTATCAGTTAAAGTAAGCAGGAAATATTTTTCCATGGGCAAAAGAATTTATTCTCAATACAACAGAAAACACATGGTGCACACACTTGTATGTGACATTCCACAAGTGAAACTATAGACTGCTGTAACGCCCGAAGGTAAGTGACATGCTTCAATCTAATCTGATATCCAGAAGATTCTTTTTGATGATCCTTCTATACCCTCTGCAGCTAAATCTTGTTCCATAATAGAAATAATTTAACTAGAATATACATAATCACACTTATCTCATTAATATAATGCTACAACAATTCAAATAATTATTTTACTCCTCAAACTCTCTTTCACTAGACTAGTCATTTTAGTACCTATGTATTAGTTTTACTATTTTGCCATTATCTAACAAATCAATTACAACTCGCAACAATCAACTCTGCCTCTTTGTAACATGTTTTAAATTCTCATTTAATTTTCAAATTAGTATCTATTGCCAAGATACTCGTCCTTTTTGATTATGAACCCAATACACAATTCATTAAACAAGAA